CTAAACTTTTATCTTTCGATAATCCGTCGTCTGTCGAATTTTGCAGGTGGAATCGAATTCATCACTTCTCAGTTAGAAAACAAATAGGGTAAGTTAACTATGCTAGACTGTCATCAAATCAAAGAGAAACAGAATGATCGATTCTAAATAGCACGTCGTCAAACACTCACATAAATCCGCTTACACTTCAAATTCATCCCATCCACAATCACTGATGGTAGGGTAGGGTAAGTTTAGTTAAATGTGGCTATATAAATCGAAGCAGATACGTAACGTAGTAAGTCAAATGATTTGAATAATTCCATTCGAACCAGATACCTAGCTCTTTCATACAATGAAGAAACCTCAGAAATCTTATGGTTGAGAATTCTTAGCAATGTAGACAGGAATGAACGTGACTGGTATTCAAACCACACACTAACTCAATTAGAAACCAACCAACTACGCCGTCCAGTTAAACAATCCTGCGCCTATGGAGATCATTCAACAAAATAATCTGGTTTATTTAACACCCTGTCTGCAATGATTGTCAGGTCGAAATAGTGTAGTGTGGTGGCGTGATACAGACAACAATGTGTTCCAACGGAATATCATTCTCACATATTCCCACAGTTGAATACCTTAGCTTCTGTTTCTTGCTTTCTGCTGTTACATTTGGTCCCGCTGTCTGTTGACAGATGAAAAGCTCATAGCCTGCAGTTTTTTGAAAATAAGGAAACACGTGGATCTTCTTGCAGAACTTCGTGGAATGGCGTTTAAGATCCATCAGCGAAGAGGCTGTTACTTGGTACGTTACGTTGCTAAGAGGTCGAGTTAAGGCAGCAAGCAATGGAAAATAATGAGATTATATAAACGATTGAGATGAGAGAGTTTAGCCAATTGTGGACTCAGCTGAAGAAGACGGCAGAAAACAGAACAATGTGTGTTATTGAAGCCCAATGTTCCACTCGGAACGGATGCGAATAATAAATAAATAATAAACGAAGTTAGAAAGTTGTGTGAGTATCTAGATATGATTATGAGTAGCAATAAATTGTGCTCGAAACGTTTTCATCAGTAAATATTACTATATAACACTGACACTTTATCAGAGTAAATTTTACCCACGATGGAAGGCAGCATATGATTGTGTGAGGCAAAACACTAGAGAATCCACACCAACCAACCAGCCAGCCAGCCAGGGTCACACAAACTGCTTCCAAATTGGGAAGGGTCATACATGGTCATCTGGAGACGGCGTCACGTATATATATATCATCAGAAATGCAAAAGAAAGACAAGCGTGTGGGCGAGCTTCGGAACTGGGTACAGGAAGATATGCAAACGAAGACGCTATTAACAAAAAGACCTAGCCGACTTCAGTTGAAAGTATTTGACGAGGGGGTGAGTTTGGTGTGGTGGTGTGATACAGACAACAATGTGTTCCAATAAAATATTATTCTCACATATTCCCACAGTTAAATACCTTATCTTCCGTGTCTTGGCTCCTGCTGTTACGGTAGAACTGGGTCAGTCAGTCAGTCAAACTAGCAGAGCATGAAAGTCTATAAAGATCTTGAATATTTGACCCTAAGCAGCTAAGATATCTGTCTGGAGAATTGTTCAACTATACCACTCACCACATGAAATTACACACAACCATACACAATATCGGATGATGGGATAGGGGTAACAGTTTTAAAATCTAATGTAACAACAGAGTGGACGGAGAGATTGTTAATTAAAACTGTATTTGTTGAATCAACTAAGACGGAGGAATGCTTACAACAGGAATCATTCAACACCTATCCACGCCAACATCTGAAAAATTCTACTACCGCCGTCGCTCCACGACGAATAGGAAGGAATAAAGAAAACTATAAAATGAGAGTTACACAGTTGTGTATGTGACCCAACCTGATATGATATGGTCAATGAACAATAAATTTTGTTAGCTGTCAGTGACACACACAAACAGTAGAATGCAAGCCAGTCATGCTGGTGGTGGTCCAGGGTTCAATCGCTGCTTCAAGCCTCTAGCTTGAAGGCGCCCTGTGTGTCATTTACACCTGGAACGTGAATGAATAGAAAAATAAATAAATAAATTTTGTTTCATTCGTTTGTTTGTTTGTGTGTGTGCGTGTGTCTGTCTGATGCAGAGAAATAAACAAAAAAGATTAAGTGACCAGTAATTATGTTCAATTAGCTGAGTACCACCAATCAGTCAAATTAATTATTATTATTCATAATAATAATGATACAGTTTTCTGTCTGTCAGTTCGACTTAATACACAGCAATACCACAACGGGGAACTTACGGAAGCCGTCGAAGTGAGGACGGGAGTGAGGCAAGGCTGTCTACTATCACCAATGACCTTCCTGATTGCAGTAGATTGGATAATGCGACAAACAACGGGCAACGAGGAAACAAGCATAAAATGAACTCACACAAAAAACTTGGAGGATCTGGATTTCGCCGATGATATATGTCTGATTTCCCACAAACATGAAGATATGCAAGTGAAAAGCAACAAGCTGGCAGAAGAAGCATCAAAGATAGGACTTCAGGTGAACATAGAGAAGACAGAGGTATGTAGTGAAGATTCCTGGCCAACACCGCCAACATCAACAACAAACAACAATCAGCATAAATGGAGGAACCTGAAAGAAACAACCTCCTTTACCTACCCACCTGGGAAGCATCGTTTCAACTACAGGCGGAACTGACGAGGATATCAAAGCAAGATTCGGAAAAGCAAGACAAGCTTTCATTATTCTTAAGTCTGCGTGGAGGTCAACAGCACTCAGCATCAAAAATAAGATCCCGATTTTCAAGTAAGTGCTACTTACTATACAGATCAGACACTGGGCCAGCACGTCATAAAGAGCATCTCAAACAAACCACAGACCTTCATCAACAGTTGTCTTCGCTCAATATTCAAGATCAGATGGCCAGAAAAATCAGCAACAGGGATCTCTGGGAGCGAACCAATCAGGAACCGATTGTGAAACAAATAGGCAGGAAGAAGTGGAGATGGATTGGCCATACTCTGAAGAAACCATAAAGTGACATCACTAGACAAGCCATTGCTCGAGTGGAACCCGAAAGGGAAGCGGTGAGTTGGTAGTCCAAGGGTGACTTGGAGTAGGTCATGTGAGGGGAGATGAAAGCATGTGGCCAGACTTGGAGTGGGGTGAGAAAGCTGGCAGAAAACAGAAGGCAATGGAGATGCGCAGCTGAAGCCCTATGTTCTTCTAGGAATTAAAGGATATAATAATAATAATAACTCTAGAAGATAAAACACTGTTTACCCATTAGAATAAACGTTGATTTCTTGTATTTCCCAGTGTGAATGAATGAATGAAAAAGAGCGAAACGGTGATATTGTTGTTGTCGTTGTTTCTGACTGACTGACTGACGACGACGTTTCGCTATTTATTTAATGCTGCTGCTGCTGCCGCTGCTAATAGCTTTATCATCAAAGGAGTATACTAAATACACATCATAACAACTTGATCATTGTGCCTCCAAGCATGCTTGGGTAATTCTGTTTACTTTGTTGTCAAGTTGGCCAATTGGTAAAGACCAACAAAACCAACCAAGTGTGTGTAGATTTGGTTTGGATTTGATTAGTGTATAAAATTATACAAAAGTAGTGTGTGTTTACACATAATGAAATTGCTTATCACATACATTCGTGTTGATTTTGTCACTTCATGCGAGAGACCGAAGGCGTGTGTGTGTGTGTTGTAACCAGGTCAAATTCTGTTTTAGTCCATCACTCCTATTCACTTCAGACAATTTGGATTCCATTTGATGATGATATGAATTGCTTCTGATGATATCATCTGACGTTCTTTGTGATTTCTGAATCTATTTCTGGATGATGATGATTTCAGTACTATCCAAATCAATTTTGTGACTTGGTTGATTCTATAGTGTAGCTTAGCGTGTCTATCGACCTATGTCTGATGATTTTTTTAAGCTTTCCTATTTCGTCAACTGGATTTATTACTCGGTGGCTGAACAGATGCGGCTCTATAGTGTTCATTTCTTCTGATTACCTTGAATTCTCTCTGTAGCGATGTTTATCCAATATATATACATATTATTCCATCAACATTTCAAACAAGCATTTTATTTTGTGAACACACAATTCGATAGAGGAACCTTAGTGATTTCATCTTTTTTACATGGACAAGGTTGCTTTGTAGTGTGTGTGTGTGTGCATGTCTGATCTTTTGACGAAAACTCCAATGTCGTGCTGATTATTGAGTACTCTTCTGATGAACACACCGTTGAGCCGCCCTGCCCTCCCCCACCACTTGACCATCGAGCAATAAATCCAGTTGATGAAATAGGAAAGCTTGAAAACCTAATCAGCCACAAGTTGTTTACACGACACGCTACGCTATAGAATCAATCAGGCTACAAAATTGATTTTGACAAATATTGAAATCATCCTCCAGAAAGTTTCAGATTTTCTAATATCATCAGAAGCACTTCATATCATCATCAAATAGAATCCAATTTGTCTGAACTGAATAGGAATGATGCAATGAAGCAGGATTTGACGTGGTTGAAACACCCAACCTCGCCTCATCCCCCACGAAATGACAAAATCACCACGGAATACAAAAAAGCAACCTTTATTGGTAATGAATATCATATACTACCGACCCAATGTCCAAGTTCATTTCAAACTGTTCAAAGTGAACTTGGTTTGGACAGATATATAAATCGTGTATTTTTTTACTTGTAATAATGATCACGTCTCACTTCACCTGTGCACTTTTCATATTCTGTTCTATTCACATTGTCTTTATTGTCACTATCTTCTGCATGTTCTTCGTCTTCTTCTTCTATTGTTTCACGATGTAATCGACTTGTTGTCACTGGTGTATGGGGCGTGGTGATGGTGGCAATCAATGCTCCAGTATCCCCAGGAGTACATTCTTCATCGTTCACATTTTTCTACTGCCAGTTTCAATCATTGGTAGGCTACTTTCTGTTGACAACACTATTGCGGTTGGGCTACTTGACTTTGTCGACTGAATTTACGCATACCGCCGCCAGCCAAGTCCTTAAAAGTAAGAAAAAGAAACAAAGCTATCAACAGATTAACATAATCGTTAGAATTTGTTTTGGTTGGATGATTTCACCATGAGCACTGAAATCGGTTGGTTAGTTAGAGAAGCTCTGGAAAACCAGTCACAGGGAGTAGTGCAAGACAGCCAGCTGTTTCCTACGTTCTAGCGCTTGAGACTGGCTCTTCAGCAGTACGCACCCACCCTCATTCGACTCCAGTTTGAAATCAGCACCTAGTTGCAAGGCGAACGAGCTAGCTCGTAGACCATTAGGCAGCTACTCTCTGGGACCCGAGGCCTATCTAATTGGCCAGCCAGCCACTCCATAAATTCTAACTTCTGCCGATTCAGGCGCGACATAGCACAATCATCTCACAATGTCTTCTTCAATGGTTACTGTCCTCATCTTCGACCTACTGTATCCTACTGGTCACACCTTTCCCCTAAAAGCCCGGTAACTGCCTACACTTGAATATGGCCAGTCGCTAGTGAGCATCTCATTGATAATCAAGTATTGGTTTTGTAGGGACTTCGTTTGATTGGTTGGAGAATTCCATCATGAGGCATTGGATCGGGTCCAGTGGCTGCTTAGCGGTCTACGAGCCCGTTCGCCTTGTAAACACAAGACCCCGCGTCCGAATCCTGGCGGTGGGTGCGTACTACTGATGTCAGTCCAAAGCACTAGGACGGAGGAAACAGATGACTGTCTGGTAGTACTCCCTGTGGCAGATTTTCCAATGGCTCTCTAACCAAATCATGTCAGTACTCATGATGAAATCCTCCAACCAACCAACCAACCAATCAGTCAAACAAAACCCTACAAAACCGACACTTGAGAATTTCCTTCCTAACGTACATTCCATATTCAACAACTGGTTAAAAAGTGTATAAGCAGCAATGAAGAACTCGGGTAGTCAGAAAGCCGGTCAAAAACCAAAATTACCCAACAAATAAGCAGTAGGAAATGGAGTGGACATATATTGATCTGGATTGAAGTGACATAGTTGCTACTGGTCAACATATTCTACCACTTCACTCTTGCCTGTTTATCTTTAGCTAAGAGTGTCGATGTAGCATCCTGTACTGTCGATTACTAATAAGCAGAAGTTGGAATTCATGAACATCATTGAGTCGACGTCCTAGTGGCTGGCTTAATGATTATCCATCTGAGTGAGGGAGACAGGCATAAAGTGGACCCACACAAAGAAAGAACTTGGAGGATCCGGATCGCGATTTCCCCGATGACATATGCCTGATTTCACACAAACTGGAAGATATGCAAGTGAAAAGCAACAAGTTGGCACGAGAAGCAACGAGAGAAGATAGAACTTCAAGTGAGCATAGCGAAAACAGATGCCATGATGATGAGGATTCCATGCCAACAGCGACAACAACGACAGACAAGCACTCAGTATAAATAGGAGAACTGTAAAAGAAGCAACCTCCTTTGCTTTCCGACCTACCTACCTACCTGGGAAGCATCGTTTCAGCTACAGGCGAACGGAAGTGATGAGGATACCAAAGTGAGGATCACAAAAGCAAGGAGTGTTTTCATTACTCTCATGAAGTCTATGGGATGATGGACAGCGCAGCATGAAAAATGAGATCCGGATTTTCAACTGCAATATGTAGTCACTGCTACTACACCAAAGGTACTTCAAGCAAGCTGCACAACTTCATCAACAGCTCTCTTCCCTCAATACTTCGCTCGCCCAACATTAGATAGCCGGACAGAAACATCACCAACAAGTGAAGGGATCTCTGAAATCAACGACCAACGAAACAACCCAACACAAACCAGCACGAATCAATTGTGTGCAACAAATATGCAGGAAGAAATCGTGGTCGACTGGATTTTAGCCATACTCTGAGAAAACACACCAAGTGACTAGTGACATCACAAGCCAGACTGTCTCTCTCTCTCTCTCTCTCGATGTGTTGAGTGGAATCCGAATGGGAGGGAAGCGGCGAGTTAATTGGTCATGAGTGAGTGAGAGGGTGAAATGGAGGAGGTAGGGGGGGAGGTGATTCGGAGAGGAAATGAAAGCATATGGGCAGACGTGGAGTGAGGTGGGAAAACGTTAGCAGAGAGCCCCGAAAGCAATGGAGACGTGAGACTGAAGTACTATGTTCCTCTATGATATGTATCCATATATATATATATATATATATATATGGTGGTCTCTCTTTCTGTTTGCTCGCTTAGTCTGTGACCATTTCACTTTGATGAACCTCTCTCCTTTAACAATGTATATTCCCCTTATATTATATATAATATGAGTGTTTGTTGAACTGACATATATCCATATAAATTGTGTGGTTGTTGACTTGTGTGCTATATTTTGCTATGTATATATGGGTCGATACTCCATTATAATTAGCCATTCATGTTAAGACTGTCTATTGATTTGTCACACACTGTCTGGACATTCATATATATTTCGCTCTCACAATCTTGTGTGACTTACTTTGGTGTGATACCACTTTTGCATTCTCCTTGTGTTTGGAAAATAGAAGTATCATCGAAAACCTAGTGGTCTTCTGATTTCCGCCTTCTTGCGTCAGGACTATTAAATTCTCGACCAGTACATAGCAATAATTTGGCGACGAGTACATAACAATTTGGCGGCGGGTAAAACTCAATTAATTCACTCAGCAGCAGAACATAACACTTTAGCAACTAAAGGAAACAATTATAATAATAAATAATAATACTCTGAGTGGGTTAGGAAGAAGACAAAATAGTCATCATCAATCATCATCATCATCATCAACAGCAGCATCACACACACACACTAGCGAGGTCGAGTAACTCTAACAACACTAGATATTTAATTCTTCACTTACTTGAGAACGAATGAGCCTCGATAACGATAATCCAGATCCGATTAAGTCTTGATGGGAGGTTAGACTGAAAAGAACAGAAATCAATACAGGATGAAACAAACATCATCAATCTGAACAAAAATAATGAGTAAAAATCAGAAATAACAGCAACAAAATAACAATGACAACAATCCATAATGAATTGAATTTGTAAAGTGAACATTTATGTGAATTATTATTATCGTGCATAAACGTCACTATAACAGCTTTGGTTAACAGCTGGATTTGACTAACTGACTAGTTTCAACGTAGAACTTTGCACCGATGTGCAGCAGCAGCAGTTTCCGTCGCCACACACACTCCTTCCATGTAGCACATAAAGGCAGAGAAGAAGAAAGTAAAAAGAGATTCAAAACAGAGATATGAGGCAAAAAGAAGACTTAAAGGAATAAAAATTGCATTTTAGTGGATATGATAAATCACAAGGAGTGAATACATCCGCGCCAGCCAGCCATCGCCGAAAACGATCACACTTTGAGCCAGCCATATCACCAATTGTCTCAAGACTTCATTGGTTGTCACCAAACATAGGACCTCAATCATGCAGTTAGTCAGGCAGTCTACGCCTCCCGACGTGATTGGATGACTGGTTTGAACTAACTCATATGGATTTCATTGACTGATGATGAAGTCATGTCTTCCTTCGACCACCATAACCACCAAAACTAGGCTAATTCCTCTCCATTCTCATCCATCCTATATCAGTGGCTAACATCGCCCCATCCATCGGTTGAGGTAAATAGGTGGTGACTAGTCAGGCATGCATGCGTAAAACATGTTGTAACCTTTTCTCTCAATCCAAATGACTACTTCACAACCTCGTCAATTGATTTCCCCCACTCCACCATACTTAACCAGCACTCGACCGATACCTTACTTCAATACCCCCCCACTAAACGGGAGACAGGAGGCAGACACCTATCAGTCGTATTTCACCGAACATACAGCGGTAGCAGAGGCAGTCAGAATTCATCTCAACAAGCCAAATCTGCGTGTGTGTGTGTGTTCAAAAGAAATTTGTACAACCCCTTCTTCCTTTCCCATGGCCAACTACATAATACGTATGAAGTTTTCAAAAACGATTTCCTGCCCTCCGTTGTAACTATCTTTCCACTTAGTTAATTTTTACAACTCCAGCTAATTCTACTAACTTATATGTTTGTATTTTATGTAATTCTTCTGGGTCAATTGATTCATCTCGTTCCAGTCATTATTCCTATTTTACAAATTTCTTGAATATGTAATAGCATGTGGTTAACATCACCTTAGAATCAACTTATCTTGAAATGCGTAATTAATTAATTTTCGCTCGTCATTCAAAAATTGAATATCACGTTACTAACATCTATTAGTTAATTGATATTTTGATTACATACCTACTATTTATCGTTTTGTCAAATCTATTCTGTCTGCCTTTGTATAGTACATCAAGTGTGTCAAGTCGATGTGGGGTACATTTGCGTGTGTACAAAGTTCTATGCTGAAACCAGTCAGTGAGTCGCCTAACTTTCCAGTCCTCAAAAACTGTCAAACTCTCGGCACCAGTATTACACAACGTCATCATCTTACATTTGACACCAGAGAATCCCATAACCAAACACATTACAACGTTTTGCTCAGGGTGTTGTTCACATGACTCCACATTCCATATGCATCAAATATTATCCGAAGGACTTTAGTTCAAACCTACTTGAAGTCACCTACACAGTCACACACATACACACACACACGCCTCTCCAATCTGTCTACGTACGTCTATCTACTTTTGAGTCAATTAACTGAGAATGGTAAATAACCGTGATATAGACATCAATTTCATAATACACACGACATCATTGACTTGGACATCTTGTTACTAACATCTATTAGTTAATTGATACTTTTGATGGCCTTTAACCTCTTCATTCCACCACACACACACACACACACACACTCAGCCTATACATAAAACTGATTCACTAGAAAAAACCACTTGAATGATAAAAACAATTCTGATGTAGAAAAACGACTATATATTAGTGTAGAGCCAGCCAGCCAGTCAGACGATGATGATGATGAGGGACCGTTAACTGAAGTGAAGGAATGCATGATTTCTTCGTTCATTCAATCTGTTGTCACTTTTCTGAATTCGTAAGTGGGAATTTGGAAATTACGTATATTAGATCTGTTCATTGTTCGTCATCGATGACTCACAATCTATAGTATCTGTCTATCAAACAAACGACAATGGATGACCTTTGGAACATGACATTGCAGACAATCAGAATCCAGTTGGGAGTAGGAAAATCTACTTTATTTATGTTTACGAGTTTGACCATGGATTGATATCAGTTAGAGAACCATTGAAAACCTAGAAGTACTGGACACCTTTCTCGCCAGCCTAGTTTGGGAACCATCGATAGAACGCACCCACCCATCACAATGGGGGTTCGAACCCAGGGCCTTCCGTTTAAAAGGAAAGCTAGCTCGTAGACCCTTCAGTCACTCTCACTGGGACCCACCCGATTCACCGACCAGTCAACTAGGGCATGAATTCTAACTTCTACCAATTCGACCTCGTTGAAGCCACCCCCATGTTCCAGTTGGAACCCACAGTTATAATTAATAATAATATGCTTTCAATGAATATGTAATAACGCTCAGAATATTTAACAGGATTATGCGAACACAATATACCCCCACTATTTTCGATGCACACACACACACACACACAACTGGATTCGCTCAAACTTCAGTGCAAATATTCGATAGTCACTTATTTGAGGTCACTCACTAACTTACACATGCGTTCAAAATGTGACAAACAATAAATATGCATAATGTTACCCCGTTTAATTAATTACAGTTTACATACCGGATTAAGCTGTTAACACCTAACCACTTCTCAGATATGCTTAAGGTTTTATTCACATATTAGAATTTGTTTAAAGATAGTTAACTCTACTTATAACTGAACCTTAACTATCGATTTCAGTACTTTGCATAAAAGTGTATCACATTTTTAGTTGCTACACTTCTCGAAAAGCATAACTAACTAACTAACTGACTGACTGACTGACTGACTGATGGTTTCAACGTACAAATTTGTACAGATACGCAGGAGCACTTCAAGTTGCCACACTCCCCGCGTATGTAGGACACAAAGCAGGACATGAGAGTAAAAAGAGATTCAGAAGAGACGGGGAGATAATAAACAGACGTGCCAAGACAAACATCAGTAATATGGAAGAAAAGTACAGTTTCCCTCGATATGATAAATCACAAGGAGTGAATGCATCTGCACCAGCCAGCCATCAACAAGAACGACTTTGAACCAGCCATATCACCCACTATCTTCAGCCTTCATTGGTTTTCACCATACTGTCTGGCTTAAACTAACTCGTGTGGATTTCATTGACTGATGATGAAGTCATGCTTTCGTTTGAACACCATCGCCACCACTAGCTAACACCTCTCCAACCTCATTCATCGTATGTCAGTGGCTAACATCGCCCCGCCCCGACCATTGGTAAAGAAAGGCGATGGCTGGTCAAGCATGGACGCATAACACACGTGCTAACCACCTCTCTCAATCCATGTAACTGCTTCACAACCTCGTCAATTGATTTCCCCCTCTTCCTTCTTCATTTCTTACCCAGCACTCGACCGATGCCTCACTTCAATATTGCTCGCTCACTCTGTTACACCTACCACCTAACGCGAGAGATAGAACGCAGACACCTATGATCAAACACAGCCACCTAACCTTTTCATGTTTTCCACTTTAAATGGCCATATCAGTCAGACAGCGAGCCAGCCATAAAGGAGGACAGCGCAAACTGCTGATCAGTGGACGCGTCTTTTTGGTCGACAGCCAGGCGGATATCATGTCTACTAGGCAAGAAATTGCGTTAGTTGCCATCTGCCACGGCCAACTACTTCACTCCTGTCCATCTGTACGCTAAGAGTGAATCCATGCAGTTGAATCCTGTAACATTCATCATCTTACATTTGACAAAAGGAGCGAATCGCATGCCAAACATTCGAAGATTGCTGCTCCTCCTCAAAGTGTTGACAACACCAAGTCTGCATTTTTTCTGCGTCTTCTCCTAGGAGACGGACTATATCATCGTCAACATGTTCTAAGTCAACCAGACTATTCTCTGGTGGTAACAAGTCAGTTAGTGTTAAATCCAATAACAAATGCATCTACGATGAAACTAAGGAGAAATGGGTACAACGATCATCCCTGATGCACACCAACACTGGTTGTCATCACAATTTTCAGATGACAACTTTCCGTAGGATCACACCTGACTGACTGCATGAGTTCGAGTATAGTGGGTGCCTTGATCAGGGCGATGTATTTTCTCCCAATACACCACACACTACACCACGTTGATAACACCTCTCCTCATCCGATCACCTAGGGGCGCCGGAGTAAAGAAGGAAGTTTGAGTGTGAGATTAACACCCCTATTCTGTAAGAAAAATACAACTACTTCCTAGGGAAACACTTAAAAGCGTAAGCTTGAAGCCGACAACTTCGTCGTTCCATCTGACAGAAGACATCAAAACCACTAATCTGTACATTTCTCTCCATCCTTAATGGCTACATACCCATGAGTTAGGCATTGAGCGAATTTCTGTCCACCACCACCTGTCCACACGTCCATTGATGGACAGATATCTGCGTCAAAGATGACACAAAATAGAAAATAGTGAATGTACCTTCTGCATCCATGTTGAGGTCTTGTCTCAACTGTCACTGGTGATGAGAAAAACAGAATTAATCACCTTTCTTCCAAGGAGAGAGTGCCAATCAATTAAATTATGAAGCTATATGGATGAGTAGTCACTAACTTCCTCGACGCGAAATGTTAGATGTCACAGCTTTACATTGGAACACAGGTAGTGGTGGTGTTTAAACCAAAACATGGTCAGTCAATGAAATCCACAACATTTATACTTTGAGCTAGAAACGTAGAGAAGTGTACACTACTTGTCTAGTTGGAGTCTACTGGATTCTAAGAACCATCGATGGATG